ACTAGTTTAAACAAATTTATCACTGGTTTAACACTGGTTTAAACAAATTTATCACTGGTTTAATACTAGTTTAAACAAATTTATCACTGATTTATTATTAGTTTAAACAAATTTAGCACTAGTTTCAACAGATTTATTACTGGGATCTTCCCCAATATACAAAGAGAGAGAGAAAGAGAGAGAAGACCCGGCGGCAAAGAGCCTAGATTCTAGATCTAGAGGTGGAGGCGATAATGACTGTTAAGGTGGAGGCGACAGTGGTCGGCAACGACGGTAGAGGTAGAGGTGGAGGTGGAGGTGGAAGTGGAGGTAGCAGTGGAGGCGAAGACGTCGGTGGAGGTGGAAGCAATGGTGAAAGTGGAAGAAGATGCCGGTTGAGGTCGTCGGCAATGACGACAATGGAGGCGGCGGTGGTCGGCAACAGTGGAGATGCCGATGGTCATCGGTGGAGAAATGTGCACACACAGAGAGAGAGAGAGAGAGAGAGAGAGAGTAATAACCCTTGAAGGACCAAAAATGTTCAGATCTGAGTATAAAAATCTGAGGGCAAAAATGGAGGTAAAAGAGTCTCTATTAAGGACCTATTGGGTAATAACTTTTGAAAATAAGATTGACCTGTAAAAATCCCAAAAAATATCACGACTTAAGATGCCTAACTAGGTTCATAATAAATTATGCTACCATTGATATCTTTTGTAATTCAATGTGGGCAAAAAAGAAATACATTTATTTATATATGTTTCTATGTTATTTATACTTTTTATATCGATGAAAATTAATATCACAGTTCATAATTTTCTTTTGATTTTAATTTTTTATTATATATATGTTTGCTGCTTGTATATCAAAACATTAGGTCGGTCTCTACTTATATTAACTTGTTAACTTATGTTTAATCATTTATTTGTCTCATGTTAATTTTATCCACATTCTAGTTTCTAACTTTTTCGTTCTTATATAACAGTTTTTTTATACAATATAGAACTAGCAGTGTTTTCAAATGATGATGCAACAACTAGGGTTGATAAACAAATCTAATACTTTGAGTTTGACTTGTTTTCGGCTTATTAAAAATTATTTGAGCTCAATTTATTATGTAAACAAGCTAGTATATTTTGGAGTTTATTTAAGTTTTTAAATCAAGTTTGAACAGTTAATTGGCCCGTTCGATTTTATTCAACAAGCTCTTATACAAAAATAAAAAATATTCGAGCTCAACTTGACAAAAGTTTGTTTGAGATTAAACCCAAAAATTTAACAAACCAAACTTGAATGAATTTTAAAATTTATTAAAAATTTTCAAATCAATCTTGAATTAATGCTACCGAATGTGAAAATAAAATTTGTTGTGAAAAATTGGAGGAAAAAATTTCAAAATTGATCTTCGGCCCACGGTGGTACAATTCCTCTGTATTTTCTTTAGAATGTTTGAGCTGGGCCGGGCACAGAGCCCATCAGAGATTGGGCTAGCTATGACAAAACACACACTTCGTCTTTCAATTCATGTAATTCTAAAACCCTAATTTTCTACAACATATCACAATCTAATACAATAATTCTTCCAATAATTTCAATCTTGATCTTGAGTTCAAAAGTTGATTCCTCCTTTGGTTGCTATAGAGACTATCTTTTTATGTTTTTGGTATATATGTGTTTCCTTTATTTCAAGGTTTCATTTGTATTTAGAATTTGAAATGCATAAATTTATCATTAATCATTTAAAGATAATAATTCAAATTTAAATTTGATAATTTATTTATTATATAAAATTAGTTATTTAATTCCACGGGATTTGCTTAATGGACTACAATTTAAAATCTTAAGTTTGAGTTTCACAAAGGGCTACTGAAACTTTGTTCGATCATTAACTTCAAGCTTCCAAAAATTAGTTCTCGGTTGTCCAAATACGAGCTAACTCGAATCTAATTGGGCTAAGCGGGATAAACTCTCTATTAAAAAAAGAAGAAAAAAGAAATAAAAAAGTTATTTTAAGCATGCTTAGAATTCTTCTTTGGACAAAATCAATTTATCTTGTTGTAGTATGGTTTAATAGTACTTTACCCTATGTATTTCAAAAAGAAGGAGAAAAAAAAAAAAAATAAGTAGTTATTCGAAAGCACGCTTAGAATTCTTTTGGATAAAATTCATTTGACCTCTTTGTAGTATGACTCAATATAAAATTAGTTATTTAATTCCACGGGATTTGCTTAATGGACTACAATTTAAAATCTTAAGTTTGAGTTTCACAAAGGGCTACTGAAACTTTGTTCGATCATTAACTTCAAGCTTCCAAAAATTAGTTATCGGTTGACCAAATACGAGCTAACTCGAATCTAATTGGGCTAGGTGGGATAAACTCTCTATTAAAAAAAGAAGAAAAAAAAATGTTATTTTAAGCATGCTTAGAATTCTTCTTTGGACAAAATCAATTTATCTTGTTGTAGTATGGTTTAATAGCACTTTACCCTATGTATTTCAAAAAGAAAGGAAAAAAAAAAAAAACAGAAGAAGAAGAAAATAGTAGTTATTCGAAAGCATGCCTAAAATTCTTCTTTAGATAAAATTCATTTGACCTTTTTGTAGTATGACTCAATAGCATTTTACCCCTCCTTCCCACTCTCCCATCTTTTAAAAATAGCCATATATCCCCAATGTAGTTTTGAATTAAAATGCAACCTCAACTTCGTTGATGCGAACAATAAAAAGACAATTATACTCTCTCTCTCTCTCTCTTATTTTTCTATTTTTCACTCTCTTTGTAACTAAATAAATAAATTTACCTCCATGATTACGCAAAAAAGAATAAATAAATAAAATTAAAAACATTACAAATAAGGCATTTAAGAAACTAAAATTTTTCAAATATTTTTTTAACAAAATAAAATTTTAATTTTAATTAGATATTGTGATATACATGCATATATACCTTTGTATATCGATATTGTAATTAATTTATGATTTAATTTGTTAAATATATGTGTATTTATGTACATCCTTAATTTAAAATGTTATTAAACAAAAAATTAATTAAAAATTAAAAATTAGATTAAAGTTGATTAATTTTTAGAATAATAAATTAAGATATTTATGTTAATTTATTATTTAATTATATATATGTTTAATTTAAAATTTTATTAAATAAGAGATTGAGTTAAAATTAAAAAATAAAAATTAGATTAAGATAATTTATGTTATTAAATATAGTGTTTATATAATTTTATATATACAATATGTTGTGAGAAGGGATGGGTTTGGATTTGGGTTTGGGTTTGGGCTTTTTAAGGTAGGTAGAAGATAAAAAAATGTAAAAATAATTTCTTATATTGAAATTTAATTTTAATTAATTTTCTTTTCCTTCCCCACAATCAAAATAGACATCTCAGGTACATTTTTTTGTTAGTTTGGATGTAAATAAAATCACATGGGAGGTATGTGACTATTTTTAAACGACGGGAATAAAGTATCGAGTCATAGGTAAAATATATTTTGCTGTTCTCCTATTAACTACAAACATCCTTTCTAACATATATCTCTTTTATCTCAACTTATCTGCGTCTATAATTTTTTTTTTTTATGCATTTATAATAGTTAATTTTTCAAATATTTTCATAAAATTCAGCCTTAAATTCATTGATTTGAACTCTAATTGTCTTCATGGACATGGTTCTTCTTCTCCGCCCATTCATTCATTCCCCATTAAATTTTATTTCCGACTTTTCATCATTTTCTCTCTGTTTTGTACTTGAATAGTGCATGATCAGATTATGCCATGTAAACAGCTTGGTTTCAAGGTATCGGTTCAAACACATTGCTCAAGAGATGACAGAATTGCAAATTTCTCTTCACATTCTCTTCTTGTAAGTCACATAGTTTATTATGAAAGTTCATAACCTTTAGCACTGCTATTTTGCTTTCTTGTCATATTTTTGAAGTCGTTCATTATTGATGAAGTTTGTTGAGGTTTATGTTTTCCTTTTGTTTGTTCGCATTTCTCCATTGATGAGCAAAGAAGTGCTAAAAAGAAGATACAACTGTTGGTTTTCGACATGTGTTCACAATTGATATAGCTAGTTCAACTGTTATAAAGCTCTTTTTTACAATAAATTATTTTAAAAATTCATGATTGCATTACCTAATTCTTGATATGTATGGCTGTACAATTAACTGCCTAAATGGGTACTTAATCATAATTTTTAATTGATTAACCTATTTACCCGCTTCTAGGGACGAAATAGTCAGAACCCAATATTTCATTAACCATTACAAAAGTTTAAAAATAGTTAAATAGTAAGACTTATTTTAACACTGATTTTACTGAAATTTGAGTAAAAGATTTATTCCATAAGGACCACTCTAATAGACAAATTTAAATTAAGTATTAATTTGATTAAAAGCTTCATTAATGGTAGAATAATAAATTTGATACCACAAAATAACTTCGAATTTTTCTTTTGGGGTATTAAAAAGTTTAGGTGAGGGGAGGTTATACCCCAATACAGGTAAGCCGGCCTTAGCAAGAACTTACATTGAACTTATAGATCGTCTACCAAAAAAAACTGTTAACAGCGATAATCAAACCTAAGCCTTAAAGGCGAAGAGTACGATCTTTTTTTCTCTTTTTTTTTTTTTTTAAAAAAAAAAATCAGCAAAACAATCTTTATTAATAAACACAAGTATTACAAAGTGATACATCAATTAAAATAAATAAATAAATAAAAAGTAAAGGCTAGTGCTCAAGCATCATACCCAATGTGTTAATCCCAACTATGTTGGCACCCACACACGAGTTCAATCATATGCTAGCATGACGCCGATGTTGGTAAGGCACCAACCAACCACCAAAACAGAAACAAACCAGCTAGACTAAAGCAAACAATGGTAATACATAATCAAAAGCCACAGCAGCAAGTAAGTAGACCACAGCAGCAAGTAAGTAGACCACACCAGCTATACAGCCAGTGGATAGCCCACACCAGCAAGTATACCCAGTAAAAACAGACCACACCAGCAACACAACAGCAACAAAGCACAGCAACACCCTTCACCTCAAACAATGTCGAACCTGACCCAAATTGAACACAAAAACATAAACTGAGTATTGCACACCTGCAATACTGCTCTTTGCCCAAAAAGCTATCCTTGACTTCACAATATCCACCAAGCCAGCAAAATTGGGATGGCCCCCATTGAACACCATGTCATTCCTCAACTTCCAGACTAACCATTGCATCACTAGTGGCACCATATTCCAAATTTTCCTTTCCTTTATCTTGAGCTTAACCCCAACTCACCATTGTAGCAAGGCTTCAATAGAACTAGGAATTACCCAACACACATCCCACGAACTCACTAATACAGACCAAACTCTCCATACTAGTCGGCAATGGAGTAAAACATGACTAACATATTCAATTTCATTTTTGCAGAAAACACATAAGATATTAACCTGATCATCCAATACTCCAATCCTATGTAGAAACTCTGTTGTTTTCACTCTTCCCATCCAAGCTAGCCACTCAAAGAACTGAAATATTGGTGGTTCCACATTCTTCCGCAACCATTTAGCAATACACAAATCAGGCCGCCTAGCTGCTTGGAACCACTGTCAAACTGATGCCACTGTGAATCGGCCTGAAGAATTCACCTCCCAACGCAAACAATCAACCAAATGCCCTCTATCTGTAGGACCATCATTCAACCGCACGCACAGTCTTCTGACATCATCTTCCTCCCAGGCTCCCTATTGTCGTCTGAACCTCAGATTTCAATCCCCTGACCATCCCCTTCGCTGCCTATACTGCATAACAGAATCCTCTTTGTCCTCTGATAACTGAAATAATCTTGGAAATTCCTCACTGAGAAATCTATTGTTGCACCACTTATCAGACCAAAATTTTGTTATTTCCCCATTCCCAGTTCTTAGTCTTGCATTTTCCAAGTAGAACTCTACCAGCAGTGGGTTATCCTTAGCAATACTCAAAATACCCTACCATATTAAAGACACTCTGCCTATTATCCTTTTCACAGGCTACCACCCTCCACCATCTATTCCATACATGCTGCACACTACTTCCTTCCACAATGCATAAAACTTAACACGATACCTCCACCACCACTTTAGAAGTAAACTATCATTCATATCACTAATGCTTCCTACCTCTAAACCACCTTGACTCTTAGACTTAGATACCTCCTTCCATTCTACTAAATGAAACTTCCCCTAATCTCATTCCCCCCTTACCACAAAAATCGAGCCTGCAGTTGCTCAATTGATTTCACCACTCCCTTAAGCATCTTAAAAATAGAAATGTAGTACGAAGGTAAACAAGATACCACTGATTTAATCAGTACAACCTACAATTTCTCAATTGTTTTCACCACACCCTTTGGCATCTTAAAAATAGAGATGTACTAAGAAGGTAGGCAAGACACAACTATCAGTGTTAACCTACTTGCAAAAGACAACAACTTTCTCTTCCACAAAGACAGTTTTTTCCTTACTTTATCAAATACTGGTTGCCAAGTTGACTGCCTTCTTAGATTAGCCCCCAAAGGTATGCCCAAATACACCATAGACAGCTTGTGAATTTTACAATTCAGCACTGCTGTGAAATCCATCACCTTTCTCTCTCAAACCCCATACACAACACTTTTGTAAAAATTTATCTTTAGACCAGACATCATTTCAAAGCAGCGGCGGAGTCAGAAAATTAAATAAGAAGAGGCACTTATTGATTACAACTTTAATTTTTTTTTCCATAACCAACAGTAAGAAGATAATAATAATTTTTTAATTAATAATAAGTACAAAAACTTAAATAAATTATTACAAAAGTATTTTACATAAAATTTTACAATTAACTTGGAGTAAAATCGAAAAGAAAGTATTGCGTGTAACTAGTGTATCATAGAGAATGTAAAAAAAGTCATATAATGTAACTAGTGTATCATAGATAATGTAAAAAAGTCATATATTTACGTCTTAAAATAAATTATATAATGGTAAGATAAATCAGAGGACATAGTGATATTACGTCATTATTAACATATAATATCACCAACCAATTGTAAAGCAATATATGAAGGATGAACTCTACATGCAAATATAATTAACACTCTAGTAATTTTTACATATATATAGTGAGATTAATTATATTAATTATATTTGCATATCAATAATGATGGATATTATTGTTATATTGAGATTTTTTCACAAAATTTTCATGCATAAAAATATAATTTGTTGTAATCACTTCATTTTCAATAAAATAATCACTATTGTTTTCATAAATTTAAAAATGCTCTTGACATTTTATTCTAAATATTTTTTTTGTTTAAAATTTTATATATACACATGTAAAAAAAAAAAAAACAGAGAGAGAGAGAGAAATCCAGGGGGGGCATGTGACCCCCCTAGGCACCATGTGGCTCCGCCACTACTTCAAAGCATCTAAGCACCCTTTTAATCAAAAGCATCTTGTAGACGTCCCCGAACGCCCCGGGAGGATGAGCCCCGTTCCCCCGTTCTGTTCGTATTGGGTTCACTACAGTTCCGGACTCTCAAATTGTCACGGTTCTTAATCTGAACCAAAGAGTCCAAATCTGGCAAATCGTTTTGAGAAACAGATTTTTGAAAAGAAATGGCCAAACATGGACTGCTTTGCCAGATACAGAGTCGCCACCTAAATATTTTAAAATGGGGGAATTTAGGAAACCCTGACTCGGTGCCAAAGGCCACATGTCCGTCATCACCGGAGTTGTCTCGGCTCGGGAGCTTGGGTACGATCGGGGAAAGTCAGCTATGAGCACCCCCTTTCGCCCGATCCGAAGACCGGCCTCTACTAACCGTGATATCCAATTTTGAAAACGTTATGTGTTCTTATTCCAATTATTAGCCTAGAATTACTATGTTATGCGCACAGCAAACAAGTATAGACCAAATCGCCCAAATTGGAACAAAACATTTCATGTTTGTTTTGAAAATGGTTTGCTACTCGCAAATAGGCTAAAATACGGATTTCAACGAGTTTTTCCAGCAATTTCAACAAGTGTTAAGGAATCTTTGTCAGCTTAACAACTTGTAAATTGCTACAAATTTCAACAAGTGAAGA